TATTGGTAAAGTACACTGTAGTTAAAAAAAATTTGTTTTTACTTGTATTTTACTTATAAAAGTAACCTGTATTTTCAAGTGTGTTGTTAGTGAAGCAGTCGAGTCTCAACCGTGGTAGTGTACGAACGCCCTATACAGCTCCGAAAACTCTGAAAACTCCAAAACTCATAAAGCGCTCTGCCCTCATGAGTCATAAAAGTTAGGGCCCACAAACAGGGGCTACGGCAACCGTATGCTCCTCGCACACCGCGCCGAAGTGCTTTTTCCGTGAACCGCCGAGTACCTACTCACCCAGACTCAGTGATAAACCAAAATCGCAGCAGCGTGCAAAGTACTGTCCGACAAACCTAAAGTGAAGCCTCTGACGTCACAGCCTAGTAAAATGGAGGCAAAATAGGCGGTTCAGGTCATCCCCACTACTCTTGGCTCTTACACTGCAGGCGCTTGAGAGGAAGTTGCGTTGTAGGTAAATGGTTTAGACAAACACGCTGATGAAAGGACGGAAAACTAAAAATTATTTGGTCGCTTTGTCCTCTTACCTACGTTGGCGCGTAAGACATATTTAATAGCGCAGACCTTAATTTCTAAGCGACTCATACACAATAAATTATTATTGTAAAGAAAGCCTCAGGAGAAGTATTCATATTTTTTAACAGTTAGAAAACTAAAAAAGAAATATTGTTTTGCTATTCCTGAATAATAAAAGTAGATTTAGGCGCATTAAAAAATTGCTTAAGGAGCTAAAAAATTTCTGACTGCAATGAAAAGTAGCGTGCCACCACAGACCAACAGCCACTATTTAATGTTAAAATTTTGAAAAATTTGACAAAATCAGACGACATGTCGTCACTTTAACCATAATATTTCGGCTTTGTTTAAAGATAATATTTCGACCTTGGGCTCATTTCATAGCAATAAACATAGCAATAATCGCTGCTAAAGTTTCAATTGCTAATTTGACACTGTTCCCACCCATAGAATAATTTGGAAAAAATACCATTGGATTGCTTGAATTTTAACCTGTAAAATAAGCTTATCGAAATAATAGACAAATTTTGGGAACATGGGATAAAAAAATGAAGTTTACCATGATGCACGTCGTTTGGTGTCGCGCAGGCATCTGTTCGCCTGTTTATGGTGTCTGCGTGACGTAAACTTAATATTTTTTCGAGCGTTTGAAAATATCATTTGGGTCAATTATCGACTGCTCGAACGAGACCCGATCGTCATCTATTGTTCATAGAAGAGTAAGTGCGATAGCCTTATTCTATTCCTATTGGCTGACTATAAGGGAAGACCTAAGAGTAACTGCGATAGCCTTATTCTATCCCTATTGGCTTACTAACAAGAAAAGTCAGTATGCATCCACTGGCATCTGTGCCCCATCGAATACACTGTATTTTGTATAAAACATTTTTTGATAAAATCAATAAATAACGAGTTATTTGAGATGGCAGTTCTTATTGACTTATCCTGTATTTTATTTGAAATATTGAATTTGTTAAAGAAATAATTCTGAGGTAATATTAAAAATATATTCATGTTACCAGCAGATGGAAAATACAAAGATCATACGTCGGTAATAATTCATTTCTTTGCAACTTGTTACAATTTGTTGGTAAAGTTGGAATTATATATATTGCAATTATCATTCACACGAAAGTTTATTCCAAAAGTTTATTTTATTACATATTTTTGTATGTTACACGTTTTAAAGCAATGTATATGTAAACTTACCTTCCGTTATATATATAATATATTCGCGAGTAAGGTACAATCAGAGTAATCAATTTTTGTATTATTAGTTTAATTAACGTTAGCTAAAGTAAGTAAATAGTTTATTGAAACGCGCAAGCGTTGTATTCTGCTTGAAATGATTATCAGTAGCGGTACAAAAATTCTTAGAAAAATCTCTCTAGAACAATTTTCATTAACTTCTTACCCAACAAATAAACGCAACAAACAACTATGTTATCGTAACGAATAAGCACTCACCTTATTGCACCATTAATTCAAATACTCCAATATCAATCGGTACAGGTAAAACAGTACTTGTCATATTTCCTCTGCAAATATAACAATCATTCGGAAGTATAATAAATCATTCAGCGAAAAACGGAACTAGGGAAGCAGCTGAGAAGTTATTGCTCTAATCGAACAGCTATTTTAGTTGACGATAGAACGATAGGAACACAGATCAGTTGACTGCGATTTTAGTAATGAATGGTAACGTGTGATTTATTGTACAATAACAATCGTTTTCGATGTATATATGTACATGTGGCTACAAGTTCTCAGACGCTTGACAATCTCCCCATTCTACATTTGGTCCGCTTCTAGGTGAAGAGCTGTCTGATTAAAC